GCTACCGTATGTGGTCCTGGGGGAATCATTGTTCTTTGCCTGGACCATGAACTTTTAAAAAGTCAGGGCTTTTCTCCCTGTGCATCGCCGGGGAAGGATACTGCCCAGACCATTGCCACTTTCTATGCACCAGAGCCTAAGCTTCCGGACAGGCGGCTCTTCATCTAATTTTCTGCAAAAATTCATTGCCCACGGACAGGCAGATCTCACGTGTTTGGGGTAAATGCACGTTGGGTCTTTCGAGTCGGCTAACTACAAATGATCCTTTAAGCAGCTGCACCCTTAGGATGTTCCTGTTAGGAAAAGGCCACTGAGGAAATCACCAGAGCCGGCCCCTCAAGCCAGGATCTGAATCAGGTGCAAGTAACAAGGCCGGGCCCACAGCAGCCACAAGGACAAGGAGAGGCCAGGTGCTGGTGTCAGGACAGCCGCGCAGGTCTCCGGCTCTGCGCGGTTCCTCAACAGCCTGACTCCAAGTCCTCTTACTTCCCCACTCAGCTCTTCCACAAGCTGTGGGCACCTGGAAAAGCGAACGGACAGAAAGGACTGCTAAAGCAGTGAAATAACAGAAATAAACCCTAGTAAGGCTTGCTCTGCTTACCCTGAGCCCACCCTGCAGGCCCAACTACTCCTGGCAGCTCGCCTCTTACGAGGGGTGGCTGCATCTTTGCTAAAATCGCGCAGCAAGCGGTTCTGGTTCGGCCAAGCCCAGGCCTCCAGCTCCCGTTGCTGTCTTCGGAACGCTAAGAAACCCCAGATACCTTACACCTGGATGTTTCTCGTGCCGAGTGCCCTTGTTAAACACAACGTGGCTGCTGCCACGTTCACAGCAGGTTTTATAAATTAACCATGACTGATTTCTCATTGCCAATTCAGTATTGTTTTTAGAAAGCTGTGGAAGGCATCAATACCGACACAAGATGAAAGCCTCAGACTTAAGTTCTTGCAAGGAGCTAGCAGGGGTTAATCATAAGCCCCAAATAAGCACCTTCTGAGTCTTCTTTCTATGAAAGATGAGCTTTGATTGGAATAGCTCACGAACCAGGAGAGTCTTGGTACCAAGTGTCTAATACACATTTAAGCGTTTTTTT